GTATCAGGAGCGTCTCGTCCGCCGACCAGGTTGCATATGCTGATTCCATCGCAAAATGAAGAGAAACCATGGAAAAACAGTGGAAACGAACTCAAGTTGGTCAAAACAACGCGATCAAAAAAGCTTGCAGGTCGCACACGGTCAGATGCTGACCCCGTGACCCCGGAATTATGACGCAAAAACCGGTTCAATAAACCCTTAGCGTTCAGACCAGGTTTTTCGGTGGAAAAACCCCACAAAAACCCCTCAAAAACCACCTCTCGAGGTGGTTTTTCAAAATCGGATTTAAACCCCTAAAAACCGGTTAATTTGCGTTCACACCAGGTTAAATAAAAACCGGTTTTTGAAAAACCGGTTGAAACCGCTAAATATAAGTCTGGTATGAACAGGGTCATAGACTTTTGGTAACAATGCATTACCCGGTTTAACAATGCACACACAATACCCGATACTAGCTAGCTACACCTAGATGCAAAGTGACGTTTAAAAATCTTGAAATTGTTTGAAAGAATCTTGAGATTGTTTGTAAACATCTTGAGATTCTTTTGAAAATCTTGAGATGTTTTGAGATCGTCTGAAGCAATCTTCAAAAAATCAATACTTACACACTTTTTCCTAACATAACCAATATACCCTGCTTTGTACACATCAACAGAAAGTACGGCAGGACATGCTTCGGGTTCTTTGCCCAACTCAGACAAAGAGTTTTCATGGCGGCGGACCTACATTCTGTATGGGGCCTCACAGTGTGTCTTTAAGTTGTACAGCACAGTCTAGAGGCACAGCGGATAGGGTGGAGGGGTGGATCGGGCTATCACTCACCCTCCATGCCCCCAGCTTCACAAGTCAAGTCTGGTTCCCAGGGAAAACTCACTCAATCTTATGCCACATTCCTGGTCCTCTCCAACTTGCTGCTGTATCAGTCTTCTTCCCATCAAAGTTTCTCAGTGAAAAACCAGCACGTACTGCTTCAATAGTACCCCGAATGGAATTGCTAACCAACAAAACTGGCATTAGTCTTCCACTTAAAATATAGAAATCTGCATATAACCCCTAACTTATTTTATTACATGTAGACTAGTTTTCCTGACATCGGGGGACCTGTAAGAAACAGGAGGAGCCAGTAGAAACCAATTAGTAACCCCTGGTCCTGGGCCGTACAGACTGACAAATTGTGGCTTTTGTTTGCTGCTACATGGACATGCAGATACATGTAGCGATTGATATATAATGTCATCAAGAAATCCTGCTGTAATTGTACTGTAATCTAAGAATTTGCAGAAAGGACGAAAGAGACACTGCAGCTAACAAAGACTTGGTCACCAGGTTACAGTGTAATCCATCAATATAACAGAATATCCAGAAGTCATAATTCTTGCAATATGTAATGTCAATGGTTTATTCACCATGCAAACTTTCACTATGCAAAAATAATTGGGAGAAGTCTACTTGTAGGATTAACACACTACTGATGCAAAAAAAAGGAGAGAAGAAACCGTCAAACTGTGAATGGGGTTAATCTATCATTGACAAGCTTCAGAAAAATAAAAAAAACAGGACTTACACAGCAATAAAACCTCCGGAAAATCCTGATATTGATTATTATCAATCTTACATAACGTTTAAACAGCAATTTCAATATGACTACATGTGTATTAAAAAAACTTGAGATTGTTTCAAAGAATCTTAAGATTGTTTGTAAAAATCTAAAGATTCTTTTAAAAAATCTTTAGATGTTTTGAGATTGTCAGAAACAATCTTGAGATCTTTCAAAAAAATCTTGGGATTGTTTTGGAAAATCTTGAGATTGTTTTAAAAAATCTTGAGATTTTCCAAAACATCTTGAGATTTTAAAGAAAAATCTTAAGATTTTTCGATTTTTAACGATGCGTGACGACCCCCGCTGGGGGTCAATATGATCCGTACGGTGACAGGGAAGTTATTCACAAAATATTAGCATTGTAAGTATAAGCTGAAGACAGCTAGAAGCATTTGTCCAAAGTGCTCTGGAAAGTCCAAATTTAATCTGGACGCTGTTACCTGGCTTATTGAGGGATGTCTATTATCACTCTATGGTGACATTTCCTTGGGCAAACCTTGGCCCTCCAGGAGCCAAGGAGCTAGCCTGGCAGCAGTCTGGTACCCATGTAACAGTGGGGGGTTTATAGGCGCTACAGCTCGCCCCTGTTTCTTACACCCAGGCTATCTGGTCTGCTATTATACATGTACGTCCTGCGCTGTACAAGCATTTTACGTTCTGTTCCTAAATTTTTGGGAAATATTCAAACTGATTGAACAGCTCTTTTCATATCTATTTGAGATGTTTCACAAATATTGTAACAATTAGAAAATTTTCTATTTTTTTTTAAAATATACTTTTGAAATTATCTAGAAACATGATGGCGGTTTTTTTATCTCGAAATGGTTACAATTTGTAATGTGGAATATAGCAATATAGAATTGACTCTAGGCCTTGGGCAAGCACTTCCAATTAGATTGTAACTTAGACCAAGGACATTATACACAGTGTGTATAATGTCCTTGTTTAGACTTATTACAAATCCTGTAAAGATTCTCATCATTAATTTTTTGTTAATAATCTAAATCTAATCTAATCATCATGATGATACTACAAACTATAGTTGTGGGATAGAAAGATTTGGCCAAGACATGGTTCTCACCGTGTGAACCCAGGATATCTGACACTGTCATTACAATGTCATGAGATTTTCTGATAGGATATTTTTTCGGGCTATTGAGCTACCCAGTGCAAACTGCAAAGACCATGTCACCCGTGTCAGGGTAGCCCGACCAGACTCTCTAATTTGATAATTGGACAGTGGTCATTTGCATGCCTGGAACAATAGGTGACCTGAGGTATGACCCGCATAACAAAGCTGCAGGAACAGAATAATTACAAAAGAAAATGTACCAATAATTTCCTAAAGCATTGTACAACTCCTTGCACTGAAAGCAAGTTCATGTTGCAAATTGAGGATCCTTGCTTTTTATGTTTTCAGTGTACATCGGCTGAGGCTTATACATGGCAGGATTATGGTACTAAAACTACAAAATATTTTCCTTTTAATTATAAATGTTTCCATGGAGTTATTGTTTATCTGCTGTTAACCCATTCATCTTGTTTCGTTGTGACCTGTACTTAGCCAAGTGTGGCAGAAATGTGCAATAAAGGTCTTCATTCTTAAAAAAAAAAATGTTTTCGACCCCCATGATTTTGGCCAGGGGAGTTGCCCATCCATAGTAGGACAGATTGGACTATACCTGCCAAACCGAAACTATAAGTGACCATAAAGTGTCCTCAAAAGTTAGCTTCTAACACCACAACCAATCAGGTCTAATATGAAGTGTTCTTGCTGAGACAAGGGTCTTTTATGATGCTATCTTTTTAGCAAATGTTACACCCCGCCCAGGTAGCACAACATGAGCCAAATCCACCTCCTCAAACATGTTCAAAAAGCTTTCTACTAGAAAGAGACTTTTTGCAGTCTTAATAGCAGAACAATTCTTCCCATGTACAGGAAAAATTCTTCCAGCAGAAATTTCTGAAGCTTTTGCAGAAAATTTTCAAAATGAATATTCATGAAACTAATTGAAAGTTATCATCATTCATACCTGTACATCATACTTGTCATTAATATGCAATCACTTTTATTTTAAATGCTTTGATACTGAAAATATTAGCTAAAAATGTGAAGGGTGTTTATTAATATGAAGTGATAAACTATGTGTAAACCATCATCAATCTGGAAGCATATTTTTGTTTCCCATCTTCTGTTTGGTGTTTTTAAAGTCTGAAGGTCCTCTATCATAAGGCCTAATCATCAGCCCAGCCTGTCCACAGACCGACAGGCCTGTTCAGGCCCGCGGGCTAGCCATTGAGCCCAGACCTCTCTTGAATTTATCACAAACTTGTTAATTACACAGGTGTGAAAATGTGAATTCTCATTAATTCAGTGGTTTTCATGGGGTGTTCATGAGGCTAATTGGATGCGGGCTGGATGCGGGCTGGCTAACTCAGGCCGCGGGCTAAAGTTTAGGACTGCCAGGCTAAGCTGCTGGGCATGACGGTGTGTGTTCTAGACCGCCAGGCTTGCAATTTTTAAAGTCAAATATCAATGATAAATTTGTACATTCTGACCATAAAAAAAGCAACCTGGTACTGAAGATAGCATGATCTTTCCAATGGCATGCAAAAGTTCACTGTACATCCAGGAATAACAAAGTTGAAAATCAGGGGTTTCAACATAGGTGTCTCAAAATTCGGAAAGTGACATTCCAAAATTGAGGTGACCAGTGTTTATTGTTTTTACTCAATTTCCTCTTCTCCAAATACTAACCTCTGACCTGGCCAATGACATGATTTGTTGACGTCTGTCACCATGGTGACTGGTGTTGGGTTACATAATGTTGCAATTTCATGGTCTGCTCTGCTCCTGTCACCATATACTAGTAGTACATGTTTGTGAATATGTTTGAGTAAAAATTAACAGGGCAGACCATGTCCAAAGGTAAACATTATGCATTTGCTTTGCAAATGTTACTTCTCTAGTTATATATATGGGCTCTGCAGGACATTAAGAGTCTATTTCTCACTAGACACTAAACTTCTGTTCAGAATCGTCTCCAGTAAGCACAATCATGACGTTTTTCTGGGTGATCTAGAAATTAGTACAGTCAGCAGCTCAGAGCTTGCTGTCTGTTGTCTATTTGACCAATTTTCACCCTTTCCAGCCACCTCTGAAGCCTGGTAGGGACTATATTTAATGCTGATCACATATTTCCAAACTGGGGCCCGACCAGGCAGTCTTAAGGAATGAAAAGTGTGGTATAAAAGACAACAGAGCACCAAAAAGTCAAGAAAAAAAATCAATCATGAGAACTATTTGCGTGTACGTGTATTGTTTATTGATATAAATTGTCGATGTTTCAATAATCAAAATGGCCCGCCCGGGCCCCGGTTTGGAAATGTGACTTCAGCATAAGACTCTATTTCTCACTAGACGCTAAACTTCTGTTCAGAACCGTCTCCAGTGAGCACGATGACATTTTTCTGCGTGATCCAGACGAGACGAACCCCCTTCAGCAGGCTGTTGAGCGAGGTGTTACTCCCGGCGCGCGCCGGTCGGGTGTCGTGAGACCGGATACACTTGATACTGGAGCCACTCATCATGCCAAACAACCCTGCTGCCATCTGGAAACACAACGAGAAATCAGAGATTCTAAATTACTTACAACTGTGGTGGACACCTCCAAACCCTTACAAGCTTGGTGGTAATAGAAATGTAGAAATGTAAATATGAATTTTTGTTTAAATTTTATGACCTCTGACCTCTCGGTACTACTTGCATGTTGTGTGTGTTTTTATGTAGTTTGTAGCTAAGCCTTACCATGTTGTTATGATAGTAGTTTGTAGTTAACGACTCCAGGAAGAATAGTATGTATGGCAACTGTGCAAACTAATGGAGATCGGTCTAACAAACAAACAAACACAAATTACCATGAAGTATCCAATCCTTGGTTTGCTGAATTCCCTACTCTCCGAGCAGAGGTGTGGATTTGGGATTATTTTTGACGTGTTTCTAGGCCTTTTTATCGGGCTTCTTTTTTGCACTGGAATTTTTTTCACCCAACCCAACCTCTGCCGGCAGTCGAAAGCTTCAATGCACTATAAACCTATTAATCACTTCAACACATTACGGTCGTTCTGCAGGGAGGTGCGAACCGGACACATGAATAGGCACAGTCAGCAAGAGGCGTGTGGCCGAATGAATGCCTTTCTGATGTGTGCTAGATGTGTGATAATCCACCGCAGTAAAATGGATATCCCTATTTATAATTTGATGGTTCCCGGGGAGAAGCACTGTCACTTTTCCTGAATAGGTTTGCCCCGCCCCGGGGTGAGTGCCGGCAAAGGTTGGGTGAAAAAAAAATTCCAGTGCAAAAGAGAAACCCCGATAAAAAAGCCTAAAAACACGCCAAAAATAACCCCAAACCCAAACCTCTGCTTGGAGAGTAGAATTCCCCCATGTCTACCTCTAATTCCTTTTGCTTTCGGCGAGATTCTTTCAAGAGACTTTTGACCTCCTGTCATTCTGCCCATCTTCCCCCACACTCTGGCTTTCAACCTTCTCTGTTAAGAAACACAGACACACAGATACACAAACCCACAGCTCAGCCACCCTAAACAATACTTCCATGGCATTCAAGGCTAGAAGTTGTGTCATTGAGAAAGGTAACACTCTCATCATCATGCCTCCGAATTATCTAATCCGGTGAGGTACACTTGATAAAGTTACTCCAGTATGCCCTATCTCTCATACCAAGGTGTAAAATAGGTACCTGACTTAAGTTGGGGAGGTAAAAGACAGTGGAAGGATAGGGATGGGCTCCACTGTCCAATACCGTGCCCGTTAGACACAGTGGATCAACAAGCTAACTGTTCCTACAGCCTAAAAAAGGCTATGGGGCTACATTTGCGATGCTACAGATGTGGGCTGGCGACCACCCCCTGCACTACATGGTCACCAGTGACGGGAAGGAAGTAACGGAAAGGACACTCAGAAATCATATCCTATCACTGCCAAAATGCCGAACCAAGAGACTGAGGCGATATTTCCTATACCAGTCAACATTGCTATATAATAAATCTCTAAACTGACTTCACCGGTAATTTGTAACTATGTAATATACTATGTATATTTATAATTTTAAAAATTGAATATTTGTAAATAATAATTATGTAACTGAATGTCAATGTATGTGAATGTTTTCTCTTAAGATTTTTAATCTACCGTGATATTGTGATATTATTGTATCAATCAAATTAGCAATAATTCAGACTTTTGCAAATTCTGTCCATGCTAATAAAGGTTTCTTATGTCTTATGTCTTTACCTTTACCCATAATTTAGTCCTTACCTGCCAGAACAGGAGTTTGTTCTCCTGGTATGAGTACGTGGCGAGATGTCGGCCGTCAGGGGAAAACGCTACCGCCATGACAGGAGCACTGTGGGCAGCTATCATCTGTGTACGACATGGAAGGCAACAAATAAAAAAGTAAGTACACTTGAAATACATTTCCCTTCTGAAATGTCTCACTTTTGATGAAACATTGTGGCATCAATGGCCTGAAAAAAAAAACTACAACTGTAAATTAAAACCTGGCTTCAGTGCGCATTGAGCCGATGGCTCTTGTCGAACAAGCGTTTGTGAATAAATACATTGTACTTTGCTCTTCTTAATAAAAAAAATTCATAATTTCAGTAACACTGTTTCTTCCCTGTTACAGTATGTACCACAATGGTCATATCATATATATTTTGGAATCAAACCCATGTAAATCAACAACTACATGTATGTTCACACAACACTATGCCATTTTATTCTGCTTTCCTACTGTTCTGCTTGCCTAATATTCTACCTACCTGGTAACATATTATAAGTTATATACACATTGTGGCCAGCATGGTTTTTAACTCTTGAGAAATGCCTTTTTATAATTTGCTTAGTTTTTCATGTTTGTTAGGTTTCCTAATATTTAAATATAACTTGCTTTTAATTTTGTATTTTGCGTGCGGCATAACCGATTGTGCCACCGCTGATGAATATTAAATAAAGATTTGTTCAAGAAAATAGAAAAACAAGTGCTTTTACAAAAGCTGTCGTTTGCCGCCATTGTACTTTTGCACAAGAAAATCACATGCCACCTCTGCTAGTTTCACTGAAAATGTTGTTACCTTTTTTTTTCCTGATAGTATAGCTTCACACATTGTGGGCAAAGGCAATTAATGGCTTATATGTAAGAAATGTGACACAAGTATACACAGATTCTAAATGTATGTGTTCAGATTGTTTATTGAATATTTGGTTTCAGGGCAAGATACAGTTTCTGGTTTTAATAATTCACTCGTGAGACATGGACTCATCCAGTATACAATCTGCAAGTTCTGCACAATGGCACAGGCTTGTATTGAGTGCACGGTGGCACAGGCTTGTATTGAGTGCACGGTGGCACAGGCTGGTATTGAGTGCACGGTGGCACAGGCTGGTATTGAGTGAATGGTGGCATAGGTTGATTGCTTTGTGGTATCCAAATGCCAAAGACACATCTGAAAGAGATGACAAATAATTTGTTTCAACATAAAATTTGCAACTGTGCACATAAATATTGAGTTCTCGTTGCTAAAAGAACACATCAAAGTCTTCAAAATTGCCCATATACTACTGAGAGAGCTTCTATATGTTG